CGGGAGTATTGCCTGTTTACCCCCTCGTGTTTTGCGAGTCACGAAGACGAACTCACAAATACACTCGGACATATGCGAGCAGATAGCACGTGCTACCTTCTGTATTATTGATCAATAGCCTTCCTAACGTTATATGACCATGCGCGGCTAGGTAGATGTCGCCTGTCTCTCAGGATGTTGAGCTAAAGTGTAATATTTGCCTGAGACGCCACCAGTCTAAACAGAACTGATATACAAATGATGTAAACTATTATGGGCTGAAGTAGATGCTCGCTGCGCCAGACTACTTCATGCAACACGAACGCAGGTCTAAGAAGCTACTGAATGATTGCCAAGGCATGCAACGAGACCATGAGGTAATGCTACCCCTAACCGACTCCAAGAGAACTCAAAATCTGGAGGAACACAATACGGGCTCTAGTTCGCCTCGTTGAACTTATAGACCGTGCCAGACGGACAGTCCCCACCACACTGAAATTGCAACCCTATTAGCTATCCAGCTTGCAATGGAGGTAGCAGGGGCATGTGTTAGAGTGAAACTTACCACCCACGTATAGCTGACATCACAGACGTTCCGGCCGCCGCATTGTCCGGTCTTGGAATTCACGGCGTACTAGTAGGTCCCCGGCTTGCACCCCCCCCCCCGGGGCCTTAGCCGGAAGTGTCGCAGAGACTTGCGGAGCTTTTCAATTGTTAGTTCGCGAGGCTTTTCGCAGTTGCCCTGTTATCTCATTAGCAATATGAAACTCCTTCTGGGGCACATTCAGGATTGGATAAGAATCATACTCCTGGTGGCTGACATACCTTGTTATCAGGGCAACTGGGCTTTGTTGGCTCTTGACAGTTATGGCAATAAGTCTTGGTCTCTGCAGGCTCCGGGCAGTTGTGGCAACTAGGCTTGATCACTGTTGCATCGCAGCTGCTGGAGCTAGTTGTCGTGGTACGTGGAGTGGTGGTGGTGGTGCATGGAGTGGTGGTGTGGTTGGCCCTCGTGGGCTCCCAGGTGCTGGTGCTAGTCGTTATTAAAACCTAAGTATTTAGTGGTTGGGTCGGTCTTGGTGGACTCGTAAGTCGCCGATGGGGCATAAAGGGGTTGGGCCGCGGCGACGGTGGCCAGGGCCGTGACAGTAATAGCTATGAACTTTATTATTATAGAAGTGTATAGGTAGTATAGAAGGTGAATGTTGGCTGCTTTATTAGTCTGTATTATGTCTTGCTGTTTGCTAGTAATTGAATCCAAATCTCTAGAGTCGACAGAGCATCTACCTATTCCTCTCAGAACTGTATTCCTTGAGTCATTCAGAACATCGTTCTTAAGGCACAGCCCAGCTCTCGGCAGTAATCAGCGGCAAATACATGACCTATTTCTGACCAGTCAGGCTCGCGGCACGATGCAAGCTAGGGTGGGGTTTTAGGATTTAGCGCGGCATTGGCGGCTGCAAGTAAAACCCCCGCTATATGGCATGAAACCAACATTAACCGTTGGATATCGGGCCCTGATAAACGGCGCGGGGAGCGAGATAACCTCGTCGTCTTATCTTCACTTCGCGATAGACGAGGAGGAGGTAAAACCCAATATCGACCGTCGCCGACTATCACCGAAAGCCCACAGTCTAAGTCATAACGTAGAATCTATAATGAGCAATATAGCAGACCCCAGGTTTCGGGAGGTAAAAGAGCGACAAGGCGGAGCACACATTCGCTCAGCAAACTTATTCCGCCTAGACGGTCGCACCATCATCAGTCAGTTCACTCCATAACATACCTATACAATTATCCTGACATAGCGTCATGAGTTACCGGCGGTGCCGGTTATCTCGGGATTGAGGTGGCAGGATCTATCTTGGAAGCTGGGGGAGACGTAATCTGCCTGGACATGATCGAGAAACCACCCGCAGAACGCTGGAGTAGGACCCCAAGTCACCAAATACTAGGTGAATCGCCTTTTGACATTTATCGGATAGACCAGCTCAACGATCTTGCCACGGAGTACGGCGGACAATTGTCTTACCAGCAGCTAGATGTCACTGATACAGTTGCCATCCCAGCAACGTTTGCGAGCTTCACCCCGGAATTGAGGCATCCGATCCGGGGATTCGTTGGTTGTGCTGGAGTGTCTGATAACGACCCTGCCCATACCTTCTCTGTTGAGCGGTTTCGTCGCCTGATGGAAATCAATGTAACTGGCACCTTCGCGGTCGCCCAGGCCGTGGCAATAGAGATGCAGAGGGCAAATGTCAACGGGAGCATGGTCCTTGTGGCCAGCATGAGCGGCACTGTTGTTAATAAGGTAATGGTTGGCCACTCGTTCTGCCTTTTGCGAGTGCCAGTTAGAGTACAAATTGTAGCTAATGGACACTCCAGGGCGTCGACACCGCAGCATACAATACCTCCAAATCTGGAGTTCTTCAGCTTGCTCGTTCACTCGCGGCAGAATGGGGTTCACGGAAGGGAATGCCCCTGATTCGCGTTAACTCACTGTCGCCTGGCTACATTCGAACCCCAGCAACTACGGAATCGCTCAGCAAGCCTGGAATGGAGAGTCAGTGGACTGGAGATAATATGCTATATCGCCTCAGTCTTGTGGATGAGTATCGAGGGCCAGTTTTATTCCTGCTTAGTGACGCCAGTAGCTTTATGACAGCTGCTGATCTCAGGGTTGACGGCGGACACTGTGCTTGGTAGGGGTGGGAAATGAGGCGCAACTTAGTACCTCTATACTGTACTTCCTTATATATCAACTCCCGAAAATCAAACAGAGTTAGATGTCATCATTGCCGCCGGGTCATGGTCTAAGAAGCCTGTAGACATTTCCAGACGTACGTATGCACTTGATATTGAAGTCGTTTGGTTCATCGTATAAAAATGCCATTACTGCCCCGTGCCTGGAAAGTCCATCTAGAACCGTCGAGATTTCATACGCGTAGACCATGGTTGATAGGCCCACGGACATGATATTATTGGATTCCAAGCGGGCCATTCAGCGTTACCTCCAGGAAATCAAGCCACCGCTGGCCGAGACACCCTTTAGTCCGACAATAATTTGCTGGTACGTCCGATGTGACGTAGCTCGGCTTCTCCAATTTGCAACTACCCAATCATCACTATATATGAGCCAACATGATATTGGTAGGATCAGCACAACTCCGACACCGGATTTCCCTTATCGCCCGCATTCGTATATTGCTGGAGTACATCTCGGTGCAGGTGGTGCCGCCCAGGCGTGGAAGTCCCTACCCGTGTTGGGGGATTTTGTTGTGGATTCTCTCGAAGGCACATTACCGGAGGATTTAGCGAGTACGTGGGATTTTGATACCCATTCCGTGGCAAGAGACGAACCCGTCACTAGAATGGACATGAGCCACGAGAGCCATGGGATGTGGTCCGCAGCCGTCTCTAAGAACAGTGTCGAGGTGGAAGAAGCTGGAGCAAACGAATCGGCCAAGCAGCTGCGCCTGGCGTTTCAAGCATGTCAGGTGGAAGACAACTGTTTCCGTCACTTGGCAACACCGCTGGCAGGTGTTGTAGTAACCAGATTTGTCATCTGACGAGAATTGGATGCTGGTGTTCCTGTTCTCTTTGATGACACCTCCGGAGCTTAATAATTGATCGCGGACATGCGTGTTATTCACTCACATTCTACAGTTGCTAGGTAGTAGTGGGGTCTTATTATGCCGATGCATCCGTATCCGCAGACCCGCTGCGGCTATATCTTTAGCGCTGCCCCGAACGTGGAAGTCGATCCGGTGAGACCAATGGAAGACTGAATGCCCTAGATCGCACTACACCACCTTGGTAGCGCCGGGGTCCAGAGAGCGCC